CTGCCCCTGCCCCTGCCCCTGTCCCTGCCCCTGTCCTGCCCGCAGCACTGGGCACAGGCTGACAGACAGACAGACACACACGCAACATACACAGACACACATACAGACACACCCACAGAAACACACACCCACACTCAGAAACACACACACACACACAGACACACACGGACACACATACACGCCCACGGCTGCTAAAGGTGTCACATTCCCGACAACAAAAAGCGATCTGCCTTATTTTTCCATGCAGAACTGTCAGGTTAAAAACATCTGCTCCGATCTTGCGCTGAAGTTATCACAGTCATGACATTGATTCCCTTCAGGAGAGTCAGCCTCCACAGAGGGATTCTTTGTGCACGCTGGCGGCATGGGACACACACCACACCGGGAATTCTAAGTTTCCATTTTGATCACGTTGCTCAAACATGAGAATGAGTCATCCACCGTACTGAAAACCATGACCTTTGTATTTACACTGAAAAAGGAATGATGAGCTTAGGACAGGGAAAGAAAACTAGAGGGAAGGGGGAAAAAAACCAAAACCCAAACCCATAAACCACCCAAACCCAGGCATATCTTTGCTCTTTGAAAGAGAGCAGCTGATGTTATTCACATGCAAGTTAAAAAAGTTGTGGCTGTGATTTGCTTTGTTTAGTGTATCCGCATGGACTCCAAAGGAATCATGTCAACAGCTCTACAGTCCCTGCAGCAGGCATATTCTGGTCACAATAAAGCAGGGCAAAGCTTTTTGTGTCCATTCATCAAGTAAAGGAACCATGTGTGGTATTTTACTTAGAAATAAAGTCCATCTTTAATTTAGAGCAATCCTGCCCCTCAGCCATCCTCAGCAACACACAATTATCTGGCAAAGGAAAAAAAGTGGTGGTGTGGAAAAGTTGTTACTGTCAAAGTAACCAAAACATGAAGATCCAAAAGGAAACAAGACTTACAAGACTTTTAAAAATTATTAATGGGACAGAATTCTTGAGTGTGTTTTTCCATCTCCTCCTAAGTAAGAACAAAAAACACTAATCTGATTTCTAGTATTTTTCATCAACAAACCACCAGCTGTAGCATTTCCTACAGAGCAGACAGAAGTGTAGTGCAGTGGACCCAAATGGGACCTGTGAAAGAATACAACTTTGAAGAGAACAGACTCAAAGGGTATCAATATTTAAATATAGTAGGCCAGCCTGACTGAGAAAATCCAAGCATTTAAGTGGATTTATTTTTTTATTCCTCTGCCATACTTGGAGCATCCCTTCAGACAAAGGGGACAAAATCCTGGCAATGATTGTTTTGTGTAAATGAAGCCAATGAACTGGACAGGTTTCTAATGTATCCCTGAAGTGTGGCCCATCCAGCAGACAGGTTGGATCTATGGGGTGTGGATGAAAAGAATAGGGGTTGCAGGAAACATTTATGAGCAGCCTGCTGAGACAATCATTAGAGCTACTTGCATCCATCTCACTCTCCAGTACATTCAAAGAGTGTTCTCAGAAGAAAATTTGGCCGCGCACCAGTGGACAGCTGCATTTTTAAGTGGAAACCCCTGTTAAATTAAAATTTTCTGTGTTATAGCATGAGCTCTACCATCTGTTGTCTAGCTCATTTATGACCAGCTAAGCTTGCAAAAAAAAACGACAAAGAACTGAAATGATGCAAAAGGCAAATGTCCCTGGGGAAACTGTTTTGTATTTCCCACAGAGAGCAAGAACTTTTGTGTTTGAGTGGTGCCTACAACACTAACAGGGAAATAAATGAATGTTAAAACTGAACAAAACCAGAGAGAATAAAGAAAGTAAGCTGCTTCCTAAGGATATGTAATTGAGAACTGTAATGGCAGGCCTGCATGCTAAAAATCACCTAGATACTCATTTGAGGTGCTTCAAATAACTGAGATTTCGTATAAATAGCCTTCCATTATAACCCAGTAATGATCAATAGGAACAGCCTATTGATGCAGTGGTTTCTGCATTTGAAATGGTTTGTCCTCATGTGCTGCTTATGCCAAATTTCAGTTGATTTTGTATTCACTGATTTTTTTTGAGAGAGACACACACAGGCCTGATTTCATCTGACGGAAACTCTGGATGAGTTGCCAGCTGTTTCTTCCCCTGCAGGACAGAGGAGACTGAGATCTCATCAGATAACACCTGATACTGGACACTGGACATGACCAAGCCTCCAGGTTGCTGCTGGCCATGATGCCATTTCCAGAAGAAGCAAGTTGCTGTCTTCCCCCAACACCTCTACATGGCAGTGGGAAGAGGGAACACATCTTTACGAGCTTCATCCCCTGCCTCTCACCCTCCCCTTCTTATAGGTGGGAAATTTCAAGGCCCATTTTCAGGTACAAGATAAAGTTTGTTGACCTGTAACCAGACAAAGGCACAACAGTGGGACACTTGGTGAAATGTTAGGTTTTCCTATCATTTTAGAAACCAGCTAAGGAAATGGCAGCAGCTTCTAAGCTTTTGAGAAAAACAGAAAAGGTGGACGAGAAGGACGTAAAAGAGTGATTTGAGGACATGGGCAAGGGGACAGATCAGCTGGGTGTCTTTGGGTCAAAATCAGAGGAGTCACCATAAAGGAAGTGCTTGTGGTAGCTGTCTGCTATGGAAGACCTGATGTGGAAAGATAAAATATTCTTCAAATAACTGAAGACTGGCAGTGGCAGCCTTGGCTGCACTGATAAGATTATCCTAAGGAGTGTGAAGAAGGTAAGTAACAGAGTAAAACCCCAGACCTTCTTAAGAGCAGAGTTCATCTTGCTGAGGGAGCTGTCAGGAGGTATCCCAGAAGTCTGCCTTGAAAGCCAAAGGTGTTGAGGATCACTGGGAGACTTTCAGATAGCATTCTCCAAGCAAAAGAGCAGTTCATCCACTTAAGCAAGCACAGCAAGAAACCAGCCTGGTTAAACAGTGAGAAACTGAAAGAACTCAGATGCAAAAAAAGGAACATGAGAGTGATGGAAAAAGGAACAGGCTTCCAAAGCAGAATATAAAAATACCACTCAGGCATGCAGAGATGCAGAGGGAAAGGTTAAAGTCCAGCCATAGCCTGAGCTGGCAAAAGATGTCAAGAATAGCACGCAAGTACCAACATCCTGTACTGTGTGTTAGCAAGCAGGACAAGGAAAAGGTTGGCCCACTGTTGAGTGGGGTTGGCCAGCTAATTACAAATGACAGAAAGAGACCTGAAGATTCCTTTATGCCTTCTTTGCCTAGATCTTCAAGAGGAAGGTCATGCTTCCAAGTCTCTATGGAATTAGTGATGAAGCAAATAACTGCTGACAGTGGAACAGGGCTGATTTAGCTGAGGTATGTGCTGGCTTCTCCCAATTGCCCTCTTCTTCATGCCCAGAAATAGCTTCCCGGAGAGTCCACTCCATAATTTTTCAAGGTACCGAAGTGAGGTTGACTCATCTGTAATTTCCCAAATCTCTTTTTTTCCATTTTTGTAGATGGGTGTAATATTTGCCCTTTTCCAGTCAGCTGGGACTTCCCCCAAACTCCATGAACTATCAAAGATGTTGTAGTGTGCCTCTGCAATGACACTGGCAAGCCCTCCCAGCAGCTTTGGATGCATTCTGCCATGTCCCATTGACTTGTGTATGTCCCACTTGTACAGGTGGTCCCAAACACTCCAGAGCTCCTTTGTTCTCCTTGGAAACCTTTCCAACAGTTCCTGTGAAGCTGAAATAGGAGTAATTTCATGTACGACCATATTCATATATTATATAGAAATGTGAGACCACCAATAGAAACATGAGGGAACAGACCTGTCAACTTTGATTCAAGTGAAAACTGGTGCAACGCCCAGGGACCAACCAAGTGGTGAGGCAGGCTAAGAAATGAACCAGAAGAGCTGTGGTAATCCTCAGCTAAAACAAAGAAACTATAAGGCAACTAGCCAGAAGAAGAAGAAATAAAAAAAACAGTGTTAAAGCATGTCTCACTGGACATTTGGGCATCCTCACCTACGGCAACAGGGTTCCTTAATGTTATGTGGCCATTGCCTTGTTCAAAACTGTAGAGAATTGTCATAAAGCATTTTTTCACAAAGTTCATGCTTATGAATGCTCACAGTTTACAACACAACAGATGTTTAACAATTTGACAAGTCAGCTGGAGGGCCTGAAGGCAAGACTGAAGAAATGCTGCAGAGACAACACAATCATCTTGGAGGGCACAACCAACTTGGATGCCTGGCAGAAGGAAAAACCCAGCAACCTCACTATCTAAGTGAGAGCAATGGGAAACAGGGATATATGCTGGGGTCTGCCAAGGTGCTGCTGAAGGGAATTCTCCACTCACAGTAGATTATTTTTAGGGCACTGCTGCCTAATGTGCATGGAGGTATCTGATAAAATGAGAGCTCTATTAAATACCTGATAAGCACAAAGATATCTTTCAGCAGGGTTCTGTTTCATGATAGACACAGGGGTGCAATTGCTCAGATACCATCAACATGATAAAAAGGAGGAAACCTGAATGGACAAGTAGAAATGACATTTTAGTGGTGCTGCTCCCAGGTATGCTGTAAGCCTTGAAGAGGAACTTCCAGTCTCTGTGTGAATATGTAGCAAAGTACACAGATTAACAACGATTACTGTCTATATTGATCTTCAGTGCCATATTGTGTTCCATGGGGATAAGAAAGGCTGCTCCAGTGCCCTTGTTTTCCCACGGCTACATGCAGAATTACTCCTGTTCTGCCAGGTCTGAAAGTGTCTGACTTTCAAGAACACTTAGTGTATTCACCAAAGATAATTCATGTGACTCCTCAGACTAAAAGACTTGTAAAAATGCATGTTGTGCAGGAGGAAACTTCAGGAATGAGTTGGAATTGGTGCCTAGTTCTCAGCAGTAAAGCATTACCACATCAGGTCTATGAGAGCTCCTATCTAGCTTGGTGCAGGTGCAGAATATGCATTGCAGAACACACTGTGGAAGGTAAGCACTTCTTGTTAAAATAATTCAACATACAAAAAATGTTACAAAAGCCTAACTAGAAATGTAATCTTACTCACATTTTGCTCTTTTTTATTTTTCTTTAAACAGGCAATGGCATATAATAAGGTACTTCCCTATTTATTTAAATAAAACCTTCACCTTTTCTCAAATAGTTATTTCAGATTTTTATTACCATTAATTATGTGTATTACAATAGCAGCCAGAAGCTTCCAAATTAGTGCCCAATGCACAGGTCCCTGTTGTACAAATAGATGCTAAAATCCACTCCCAGCTCCAAACTGATTACAAATGAAATCATGAGGATGAAGAAGTCCCTTTGGGATCCTTGTCTAAGGAGACCCAGGCAGAGACCCAGGGAACATGCAGCATGCTAATGGCTGTGATACTGTTTTTTAATTTTGAAAAAGACTCTGGAGGAAGAAAAAGAACTAGGTCTGTTAGTGCATCATGTTTCCCATATGGGACTCATTTCTTCATGTTTGCTGATGATCCTAGTTTCAGTCCTTGCTTAGTAGGAATCTGAAATTCAACAAGTGAAAAATGTGTCCTCACTGAAGACACATAGTAAATTCCCATTGTCTCCCTTCAAACCAGGATTTTGAGCCTGCTCTCTGGTGGCAGTTACAAACCAAGGGAAGAAAGAAACTGCAGAAGGAGAAGAAGACAGACCTGGGTAATTTACCCAGGGATGAGTGCAAGAATTCAGTCCTGCCTGCCCTGTGAATGGGGCTGGTTGGATGCCTTCCAGCAGGACTGATGTCTTGGAGAATGCTTTCCAGAAAAAAGCAACTGAAATTAAGATGAACTAGGAAAATATCTATACCACCTTGCCTGAAGGTGATGGTAGTTCTGCTTCCTTGTCCCTATTGTACCAGTGCCTAGGGAATACAGAACTACTCCAGAAGAGACTAGAAAGAGGTTGCAAAAGATCCAGCAGGAAAGACAAAAGAATACCACAGACAAGAGAGCCTCAGTCACACACCTTCAGAGAGGCAGAGGTAGCTGGGGCCATCACTGAATGGGACATTCTACCTGCCTGTCTGAGTCTAGGCTAGGGTGATCTAGTTTTTCAAAGGCCACACAGAGGTGGAAGTGACTGGCTGTTCATTTTCCCTTTTTACCAGTCACTTAAGAGACAGTCTTGAACATTTGTACTGAACTTTACATCCCAGATGTATAAACAATGCAGAATTATTATCCGGAGAGGTGAAGGTGGCTAAGCCCATCCTTTTGTTTTATGCATGAGAAGCTCATTGTGACACAGTGATCACACTGCCAGCTTTGTAGGTGCTCTTTCCCCACAGAGAAGTACTTCTGCAAACAGCAGCTATGCAGTAAACCCCTCAGCTTTAAAATCTTTCTGGGGAGAAGCCCTCCCAACCAGAGACGTTTTCCATCAGCGAAGCCAAAACTGCACTAGGAGATCCCTTTGCTGTCTGGCAGGAAACAGAGCACTTGCTCTCCTGAAGGCTTCAGCTGCAGATAGATTCCTGCAGCACTTACATCTGCAGGAGAATGTCAGAAAATTATCCCTTGTCAGGAAATCATTAAAAATATTATCTTTTTCTTTTGGGAGCTCCTTAAGACTCTGCTCCCTTCATTTTTCTCTCCACAGTAGCTACTGGAGAAGGCTGTAGGATATTGGACATGAACCAAAGCCAGCCGAGTAGCCAAGATTCCCTTCTAAATACAACTACTATTATTCTTTAATGCCAAACCTTTGCTCCCATTGCTCATCAGCTCTCAGTGTGACAGAGGCTACTCTCTGACTTCAGCTTACACAGGCCAGGTTCTGGAAATAGCTTCATGCTACCTAAAGTAAATCTCTGCCTATAAATGAAAATAGCAAAGTGAATGACAAAATTGTTTGGGCAGATAAAAGAACAAGTGTTTGACCCTGACCAAATTCTCCATCTTTGGGTAATCCCTCCCTCTCCTGTAACTCAGGAAATAGGCACAGCTGGTAGTCACAGACTCTTTTTCCACCTTCTAGCAGCTCTTTGTCTTAAATTATAGTGATGTTATTCCTGTAGCAGCAGTGTACCAGGCACACATCACTCTCATCTCCAGAGGTTTGAACTCCTCTGGAGAGGTGCAGTAAGGCAGAGGTGAATCAGGGTCACTATGAATGCTCTTTGCTCGAGATTAATCTGACATGCTTTTAAAGCATATCATCTGTATTTTGCATGCTATCATCTGCCTGTGGCAGCATTACACACACACAAGTCAATAAGGGGCAGCCCAGGACCTTGGCTCTGGTGCTGATTGCTGATTTGGGACTGGAGTGTCTGCTTCCTTGGGAAAAGATGGGAAGGGATGATGCCACCTGCCACATCACCGCAGGGAGGTAAAGGTTGTAGCAGCACCATGGCTTCCTTCCACCTCCAAGACCCAGCAAAATGGGTAGAGCTTAGTTGCAAAAAAGAAACCCTGAGGCAGAACTCAGGGGCCCCCATGAATCCAGTCCGTGGCCATATTGTCCCCTCTCCAGGAGCACCCTGCACACCTGGCCAGCAGTGCTCTCCGCCTCAGAGAGTCCCCAGATCAACAGATCTCAGTTCCCTTTTGCCACTTGCTAGGGAGAGGTGGCAGGGAATGGGGGGCAGGCAGGGAGCCCATCTCCCTCTGGGGGAGAGGAGAAAGCCCTGCTGCTGCTTCTGCAACAGGGGCAGCGTGCCTGGCTTCACGCGTGCGCCCATCCCCATCGGCCACCTCCGCCCAGAGCACCACCACCACCACCACCACTGACATGTGCGCCATGAGGGTCCTTCCAGCTGTCAAAGTTCCCAGGAGACACCAGGGGCAGCAGTCTCCCAGTCTGTCGTGACACCCAGGATTTTGGCAGCATGGCAGCAGCCTCGTCAGGGGCTGTGTGCCGGTGCCCTGGCCCACAGCGAGGACACCGTGCCCCCTCAGTTCAACACCTTCTCCGAGAAGTGTCCCAGCTTCCCTTCCTCCTGCACGGGCTGGAAGGCTTGTCCACCACAGGATGGGCCCCGCTCCTGGGCCAGGGCTCCACCAGGCCACCGTGGCCCCCCACTCCCTGGGGCCGGGCGGGCGCCCTGCAGCTCCGCACACTTCTCCTTGTAGTGCTGGGCATTGCCGGCAAAAGTCTCGCAGCGGCTGAGGTTCTCCTCCTGCACGGGGCTGCCCACGTTCTCCTCGCTCAGCCCCGAGGCCGTCGCCCCCTCCTGAGAGTTTTGGCTAAGGTAGACAACAATGATGTCGCCCTTGAAATTCATTACTTGTCCACTTGAAATAAAGGTGGAGTTGCTGTTTCCAGTCACATTTCCTGAGGAAGGAGGGGGGAGAAAAGAAGACATGATTAATATTTTCCCCTCACAAGGTGGACACTTAGTGCAGTGAACCTAATCTGCTGTGGTGGCTTTGTTCTTGTTCCATTATTTTTTCCCCCGTGACATGAGGACGCTTTTATAATCAATGCCTTCCACTGAACCTCTTCATTATTTCCATTTTTGTCTTGTCAGGACAAAGTCTGTCATACGCAAGGAGCCTGTCTAGAAGGGCTGGGAACGTTTTCCCTCTGAGCTGTGATCTGGGAAGCCAGAGAGAAGGGGTGATGATTTCATGTTCCCTGTGCTGCCTGATGCACAAAGCTGTGTCCAATCTGCCTCTGCCAGCGGTTTGTGAGGAAATGCTAATTATTTCTGATTATGAGATTTATTTTTTCTTAGAGTCCCAGAAATCCCACTGTTTACCAAAGGGGCAATAAACCCCCAGTCAATCCTACCATTTGGGTTAGATAGCAGGATTACTAAATAAATACTGAAAGACTTAACACCAGATCACACAGTCACACAGTGTCCAAACAACACAGAGTTTATACAATTATGTTATACAGTTCAGATCCTCCATGTAGGTACACTCTGGCACTCACCTAGCCTCTGCAGGGATTTAGCTGGATATAGACAGACACAGTTGAAGAGACAGAGTCTACATTATAGCAACTTAACAGAGTTACAGTTTCAGTCAGTCTGCCTGAGGTTAGAGATTTTTCAGCATAAATGCAATCTTTCTCCTATTCATGGACTGGGCTGCAGACCTAAGTGACAGCAGGACCGAGCTCTGGGAATTAATAATCTTCCCTCAGAGCAGAAAGAAAATAACTGAGAACAAACTTCCAACATCAAACTAACAAGCTTGCTAAAGTCTGAAAATGAAACAAACTGAAGAAACTAAGTAAATAAAATTTTCCCAGCCTGTGAACACCCTTACTAAGAAGTGTTTTTCCTGCTGTTCTTCACTTCATCATTACTTGCTGATTTGACTCTTTTAGCTATTTTGTGCTTTTCTTCATTACATTCTTCCCAGAGAAATGCTGTTTTTCCAGAGGCCACAGGTGATGTTTGCACACCAGCACTGGGCACTAGTCTCCAGCTGTGTGGAGTCAGGATCTTCTCAGAGCTGAGTCTGGGCAGCACTCGAGTGTCTCTCTAATAGGCCCTCCTTAAGCAATCTTATTTATTTCACCTAAACCACTGCATTGCTAGCTCTTTGCTTTCTTTCCAAGTGCTGTTGATTAATATGAGATGCCCATAAGGGTTTTCTCTGTGTGAGTTTTTCCCTGCTGGTTCTTTCCCCTGTGTTCAATTCAGTTTGGCTGTTTGCCATGAACAAAACTCTTGGGCATAATGGCAGTACAAAAATAACTGTTTGTCTTTAAACAGATTGCCTGTCGCTTGCACAGGGTGCTGTGAAGAAAGTTACCAGTACTCAGCACGAGATCAAAAATTTAGAAATATATGTGACAGCAGGGAGGGGAAAAAATTTAGAAATATATGTGACAGAGGGGAGGGCAGATAACACATTTATAATGTTTAACTGAATGTGGCTGGCAAACCTTCTGTGCTTTCTGAAGACACCATGCTGAAACAAAAGATATTTAATGCCCAAAGGCACAGAAAATGGACACGAGAGCTTCCTACACTGTGCAAGAAAAGTGCCTCCAACTGAAAAGTATAAGGGACGCATTCAGAGTGAAGGCATTGTTCTCTGCAGTGTTTCAGCCTTTTGATCTCTTCAGACTATCAGATACTAATAACAATGACAGATTAATTTTTGCGGTAATTGTTCACTAAGAACTGGTACAATGCAGGCAAACAATTTTCTCTGAGACATTTAATGGCCTCTAGGTGGTGAGAACTGTTTGTCACTGCCAAACCAGGCTGGTTTGGGATCTGGAAGTGAAAGGCCTTGCAAAACCAGATCCAATTATGAGTCAGCTAAGTTTTCCTGTGCTCATGCGTTATACTGTAGCCCTGCACAGGGCTTGAGGTGGGCCTGAATTAACCCTTCATGTTCTGACTGCCTCCAGGCTTGTGGGTTTTGAAGAACTGCTTGGAAGGTTTACCTCCATCTCCAGCAGTGACCCCTGGAAGGGGCACCTGTCCAGAGGTTTACTTTGGTCTTGTAGGATTGTTTCACAAGAGGGACAGAGTTTACTAGTTCTCTTGTAATTTTGAGTGTTAGTGAGCCAAGACCAAAACTTCATGGAATTTCCCATGGTCTTTTTCTTCCCATTTTTCATCCACCCTCTTTTGTACCATTCTGTTTTAGCATAACTGCATGCAAAGCCTCCTGGCTTCTGTTGCTTTGAAAAGCTTTACAGAAAGTTATTTTAAATGCACATTTATTCCATCTGGGCATCTCACAAGGCCTAGCAAAATGACAGATGCTAATGCACCCACACGTGCAGCCCTGGCGTGGCTGGGCTGCATCAGTGAGGAACCTATGGCTAAGCCGTGTCCCAGTCCTCATGTAACCAGGCACTGCCGGGGTGGGGGAGAAATTTCTCTCTGGGCAGAAAAATTACTCTGCCAGCAAGCCAGGTTACCCACAGATCAACTAACCCACACTCTGATACTGCCCACAGCTCTGTCAGTATCTTCCTGTAGTCATGCATAAAAAGCGGCAAATTAGGAACACGGTATCTGTGCTCAGGTTTCACCAGATGGCACTGTAGCATGTACATATCCAAAGCACAGACACAATTAAAATCCCATATAAAGAATTGTGCTGCAGATCTAAGATGGCACATGCGAGCACAGCGCTTATATCCCGTTTGCTCTATTGCTCCTTAATATTTTCTCTTTCTCTTTGTGTCATATTTAGAAAGAAAAGCAGTACCAAATGTAACTTGACTTTCAGTTGTACCTCAAGAGTCCAACAATAACAAAAAGGATAATCTGTATTCTCTTTACTCCTGCTGCATTTTGTACAGACCAGACAGTGAAATTGCGTCAAGATTTCAGGAAACTGTAGCAACAGAAAGTTTCTGTTCTTTAGAAGATGAACACTACACACTTTCAGATTCCCATATGGAATGCATGTTGAGAGAGGAAGGACCTTCAAGAGTGTTGTTTTGGGGCTTTGGCAGACTGACAAGAATGTCTCCATAAAAAATTTTAAGACACGACATGGTTTTAAAGAAGGGCAACAGCTTACGACTGCTGTGGGTATTACAGTAATACTTGGATGTCCCACTCAACACTAAGGTCTCATTATGCTTGGCAGTGCACTGATATAAATAAAAATAGAGCATCCAACTTTATGAGATTATAATCTAAAATGACTAATAACATATGATAGGTAGATTGCAGACTTTTGGACTGAAAAAAAGCTTGGGGAAAGGGAGGCTTTATCCAGAGAAGGCACGTAACTTCCCTTCTGCTGGTTTTGCTTCAGTGATGTTTTTCCATTTTCATTCGACACTTTGGCTATATTGTCTCAATTAATAAGTTGGTAGACAATTAGTAAATTAATCAATGTTTCAGAGCTGTTTAGGGGACAAAGCATATAGGTATGGAGAAACAATGCCTGTATGAAACTATTTTATGTGAACACTTATATCCCAGCAAATAAAACCAAAGAGAAAGAGCTATGAGCAGAAATTATAGATAATATTTTAGACCCAGTTGCAGCCACCAGCTGACAGCTCCAGCTGAAGTTTCACTGACCACTGTATTAATGTAACTGGACTTAAATCTAATGGCAAAAATATGTGTGCACACTGGTGAGTGAAAAGTATCTGCTTGATCATTATGCATACTTCCTTAGCTCAGCCTCTAGGTCCCTCAATTGTGTTCTTTCTAATTTTCTCCAATACACACACCTGCTAACAGAACTGTCAGGCCTCTGCAGCAACAGCCAGAAGGAGCATTCTGCATTGCTCATTAGATCAGGGTGGGACAATGGTCTCTTGCTGGGCTGGTTCTTGCAGAATTCAACACAAACCAAATGGCTTTACAATTCCAGATTTTTTTTCAGAGTAGCTTCTGGGCAATTAAGTGAAAAAGCATGATTTTCTCCTCCTAAATCAGATCCTCTGAATACTGAATACTACTGAGCTAGCAAAGAGAACAATCCTATACAACTCTGTATGGATGAAGCCTAATGGGCTTACCAGATGCTGGAGGGAGGTCTGAAGTGCTGCTGCTTGTCCCTGAAGTGCTTCCATGTGTCCCTGAAGTGCTTCTGTTTGTGTTCTGGTACTTCATGTTGGTACTGTCTGAAGGTACATCCTCCACACCAAGATCATTTGTTAGAGTGCTCTGACCAGCAGAGAGAAAATTCAAACCACAGGTGCACTGGGTACAGGAACCAGTTTCTGGGGCGGTGGAGGTGCTGTCAGCCGCAGCACAGCAGGGTTTGCTACACTTTTGGGGAGATTCTCTGTACAAAATGCCACACCTCACACAGATCTTCTCTGAGTCACAGTTTGTTGCAAAATGTTCTGTGTCTTTGTTGCCTGTTTCCTTGGGGCAACTGTGGGCATGTTGGCAAGATTTCTGTAGAAGTTGGTCCGTGGCAATGTGTGCCCCATTTGTGTTGGAAGGAGGGTGAAAGCCTTGAGAGACTGATACATCCTCTGTGCTCCCAATACCTGAAAAATACTGGTTCAAGCTGTCATTCTCCCCTGCCTCCATTGGTTCTGAAAATGATGACACGGTTTTACTGGCAGTCTGACTTAGTAAAGATAAATAATCAGTGTTATTAAGATCCTTATCCATGTATTCATCTTCCGTGGGAACTGGTGGGAATTGGTAATCATCAGTCTCGGTTACCACAGAAAACTCTCCTGGCTCACAAGGCTCTGTGCTGGGGCTCTCATTCCTGCAAGGAGTGTGACCAGAAGTGCAGCACGAATTTCCAGGGACAGGACAGCCCGAGGGGACCAGGAGACACGTGTCTTCAGCCCTCTGGGGGACAGCAGCATTTGTGATGTTCACAGAAACAAATGCATCTCTGGGGGGTTCCTGAAAGAAATTAAAGCAAGAACATCTTTAACAAATAGATCAACATGAAGTTATTTTTCAGACAAAGGAAAAGGCAGATCATGGTCCTTCCTCTGTGTGGAGCTGCTGAAGTTGAGCCATGCTGCTGTATTTGAGTGTTGATGTGTAATTCTACTCTGCTGTGAAACTGTGACTGGTGATGCTGGGCTCAGCAGGTGTTCAGAACAAAATCTGGTGGCCTGGGGAACAATAACATTTAATCTTGTGAGACAACTATTCCTGTTTTTTCCGAGGGCACTTAAGAAGAGTTAATAAACCTAGAAGAGTTGCTGGATTCTGCTGTTCCTTACGGACCATTAGTAAGACACACCTAAGTGCTTATTAGGTTTTGTAAACCCTCCCATGTGTCTGAAGGGCTATTGATCTGTGAAGGCCTTACTGGGGGCTGAATTTTTAATATCAGCAAGGACTGAAGAAAAAACCTGGGTTGATTCATAAGTTCTGAGACAAGCTAGAAGAAAACACAAGGAAGGTTGTATTAATCTGAAAGGTTAGGACAACAAATGCAAAGGCACATGACATCCTCTTGTCACAGTACTTGACAAAGTAAAGCTACATTTTTGGTAGCAGCTCCAAAAAAAAACCTTGGGAAATACTTCAGGGGTTTTCTTCAGTTTGTACAAGTTGTGCTTTAAAGATGGGTGTTTGGGAACAGATACCTTTTATTTCTAGCATCTGTTCAGATCTTCCAGGACAGAAAAGAGAGTGTATGTGCTGCAAGCCACTAATTGCTGTTGATTCACTCCTCTGTCCCAGAGGATCTGAGCAGCTGCCAAGACAGGAGGTTGCATGAAGACTTATAAGACAAAAGAGGAACTGCCTGCTCAGAAAGGTGGGTTTTTTGGTATGTCTGTTTTTTCTTTCAAGCAATGAAATTTGAGTCTTTCAACGGCTAAGCTCATCACAGCTCCTAGAAGGGGTGGTGGGACACCTGGGACACCTCAGTCCACATCCAAGGTGTTAAGTAGGCTGTGCACATGAACTTGAACCGGTGCCACCATCTGTTCCAAGCATGAGGCTGGTGTTCTTCCAGAGCAAAAGCTCTTATTTATTTCATCGGAATGCACAAGCAGGATTTCTGAGTTCCCAGAATTAAGAAGTCAAACAGTTTCTTTAGCTGATGGCTTTGTGTTTAATGCCTTGCATGCCTGGCATTTTTGGCATGACCCAAATCCAGGTTTCTTCCCTGTGAGCACTCTTGTGTGTAACAAGGGGCCAACTCAGCTGAAGCTTTTCCTGCACTTAAGACTTAGAAAGGCTCTCTCCTAGGTAGTCTCAGGTGTTCAGCAACCAGTGGGTTCATGAGTAACTTTCTTGTCATAAATATTAAATGATCACAAGACCTTTATCTCTGTTAAAAGTGGCTGAAACCAGAGAGCAGGTTCAGAAGCTATTTGTGAATGGTGATTTCACATGCCTTACATTTACAGAAAACCAGACTGAAAAAGCCAAAGCTGCGAGCAATTTTTGAGGAACTAAGAATTTGTTTTCTAGCCAAAGATTACCATGGAGTCTGCTTCAGAAGGGGTGTCAGGAATGCCATGAGGAAAACACAAAACAAAAGACAAAAAACACAAAAAAAAGAGAAAATGCTACCATCTTTGACTTTACCTTTGTTCCTTTTATTTGGCTGCACACTTCATTAGCCCAGTTCTGTAGATCTGCTGTAGGGAAAACAAAAGAGTAGCTGTAACATATAGCAGGCACTTAAGTTAACCACAGACCTAAACATCCACAGTCATTCACAACCCACAATATCATATTAAATAAAACCAGCAAGCCTGTTTTTACTGCCTGTTCAAGTGTCCCAGTATCGGTCTAGCTGAGGATTCACTGTAACTGGAACAGGGATATATTTCTGTGGAACAAATGTTTCCAAGCTCCTAAAATAGACCACGGTTAAACTGTGTTCCACATCAAATGGGGTTTCTTTCCTGGTCATATGTCACACCAAGCTATGACTGGCCCAACAATGACCTGCTCACAGCAGAAATGGTCTATTTCAAGAGAAGTCACATGGATGGCCCAAAGGCCCTTCCAGACAGGAGTGAGAAGAGGGTAAGCCACTGCAACCACAGGATGGCAGGCTCAAATACAGCATGCTCTACTTAATCAGGGTATGCTTAATGGGGATATTCATTCCAATTTCTTTGGAGTATCTCCCAAGGAAAAGCTTTAAGTCCAACATGCTTTAGGGCAACAACTGACACAGTGAGCAATTCTTGGTTTGCATTTATAAATTCAGGAGACTTTGCAGGGCTCAAGTCCCATTTACATTTGAAGTTTACAATGGTTTTGCATGGCTGAAGATAGATCAGCTGCGCAGCCACTGCCAGTTCCCAGCAATGACTCTGTTGCTCCGATGTTGATTTACCACCAGTACCCACACCAAGCAGGAATGGCTTCTTCCTGAGCCTGCAATTCTCCCCAGCACTGCGAAGGCAGTGAGGGACTGTCACTGCAGAGCAGCAGGGCAAGAGAAAAGTCAAAGAAATTGCATTCCCCCCCAACCTGCTCTGCGTCGCAAGTATTTGGTTTGCGAGCAGAGTCACCATTTCCTCCAGCCCATCCCAGAAATTCCAGATTTAGCATAACCCATGTTTAGTGTGGCAGAGGCAGCCTATTTCTAAAACACAGGCTGAAATATACTTTACAAGAAGTGAGTTCTGTCTTCCTTTCCACTGCTTCCAAAACTTTGCATAAATTGTTAGCACTTGGGAAAGGAAATGATAGAAAAAGCTTTCCATGTTTAGGGGAAAAAAAAATTAAAAATCAACAGAACAATAGAGGTATGCCTTAAAGAGACCCAGGGCTTAAAAGAGAGTGGAAGAATGTGAAGGTATTTCCATTTAATTAAAAAGAAACTCAGTGTTCCACTGTTATCCAGTATGCCTTTGGCTAGAATTTTTCTATTTTTCTACTTTAACTATTCATTCTATTTCCTTCTAATATTTCTTCAATACCTCATCAGAACTTCAGCTTTCAGCTAAAAACATCATCTCCATCATATTCTCAAATACACTCAGGCCTTTGTATTGAAATCCATATTTTAACCTGTCTGGATGCAGTTTTTTGGGTGGGAGGGAGAGTAAGGTGAAGAAGACAGGAATTCTATCTGTCCCTGCTTCCCTTCAGCAAGGGGTCAGCTGTGCCAGGTGATGCAGAGCAGCCAGGCTGCTATGAAAGCCCCCAGCACCAGCCCTCTTCCTTCCAACCACAGTCATGTCTGCCCTGAGGATGGTCACTCCATGGGTCAAGTGTAATACACTGTAAATTACTGCCTGCCTAGAGGAAAGGAATTTTTAGCCTGGCTTTGTGGTAGATAAAGCATATCCGTATGGACAGACATAGGGATGGCACAGAACTTCCAGTGTAATTCCTGAGCTTAATCTGTTGGTTACCCATGGAATCAGATTGCACAGAGAGCCACAGTTGTCACACTCATGAATACCATTAGCTATGATGTACCTGTCAGCTTTTTTCCCTTCTTCTTGTAGTACACGATGAAGACGACAATGCCAATTAGTGTCACAAAGAACAAGATGACAATCAACACGTATAAGATTCTATTTGTTCCTGCAGGGTGTAAAAAAGATAGTGCCATCAATACACAGCTTGCACTCAGCAGTATGACAATCCTTGCTCATTTTACCTACTTTTCTACAGGAGGGGGTTGTTTTTTCCTTCCTATTTCATCTTTAGTTTCTATAATAAGAACAATAACTCTAACACTCATGCAGTTCTGTGACAAGCAGACACACTAATGGTACCTAGTACCAAGACATCTCTATAAAAACCAGAATCTTGGTGTTACAGAGCAATGCTGTCTGGTCAGGCTTCTCTCAGTGTTCCCTTGCAAGCTCCCAGCAGACCACAGGGCTGAGCTTGATCTCACTCAGGGGACAGAGGACATATATTTCATGGAGACTATAGATACAGGTGGAAAAATTTGTCCTTTATCTCAGGTTATGATGGATCATTGCATGCCAAGCAAGCAACCTCCTTGGTACCATATTCACACTGAAGAAGGAATTGGACAGTGGGCAAGGGATATCTGAGAGGGATCAGGCTGAGACTGCTATAAAGTAAGCAAGGAGAGGAGCTGCTAGTCTTTATACATGTAATGTGTGTGTGGAAAGCACATAAAAATGAGCATGCTGTCATGGGTATAACATGGCTGTAACAGAAATGCTGCCATGCAGTTTTAGTGGGAGATGTCAAACTCATCTTAACAGTGGACATAGGCCCTAGAGTCACCAGGCCTATGGTGATTTTTAAAGGTGGGATTTTCCAAGAGCCCTGTCTTGGTCTACAGCTGCTCTCCCTAGAGTCATCCACAATGAGAATGGATTTAAGCCAGCCCAAACCTCTAGTAATCACATCCCTCCTACTTTCCAACCGGCAATCCATACGAGGACACAAACCATCTTCTGATGGTTCAGGCATCTTCCGTTCTTTACAAACTGCATCAGACTTGTCAGTCCCAGGCACGCTTTCTTCCATTCCTAGAGCTGTACAGCTAAAAAAGAAAGACAAAGAGGCTAGGTTCTCTCAAGGAAGCTTGTTGTGCCCCCTACACTTATGCAGAACAGTACTAACTGTAGTAAAATACAACATTTCTCCACCCCAAGAACCTCAGATACTTTACGGCTCGGCAGTTCTGTTGTCACTGCTGTCTCTTGTTCTCCTGTAAGGAGAATTCAAGCTTCAGCCTGACAATGCCTTAATCACTGCACAGCCAACGCTGATGCTCCATGTGCTCTACAGGCAGCCTGGGACACCCCACTGAGAAATGCTTTTGCCCAAGCCTTCTGGCTGGTGTGGTCATTTTACAACACCCAGGGACTTACTTGGTCCAGGATTTACACTCGTCGGTGGATGAGAAGACCTTTGAGAAGTAGCCTCTGGGACATGGTATGCACATTGTGTCCCTGTCTTGTTGCACTGTGTGTAGGAAGGAAAAACATAGATGAGTTTCTGTGGGTTCCTTCCAAGAGAGAGGAAGGTGACCATGCTCCCCATCCTCCCACTCCACTCTCCTCCCACAAACCCCCCAAAGGCTTTCATAAAGGGTGGGGTCTTGGGTTATATTAGGGCAGCAATGACAGTCCCATGTAAGCCCCAGAAAGTCTCACCTGAGCACTTCTCTACATAGTCAAAATGAGAAATGACCAGGAGCCATTTGTGTTATTTATTGTAAAATAACACAGAGCTGTTACATCCTTCACCTTCTATTTATTCCCTTGTGATGATACTGTGTCAGAGACAGTGATGCTGACTGGTATAGTCACTTCTATGAAGCCACAGTAGACAAAATACTGTATCAGGATTTGTTAGGCTGGAGAAAAAACACCAACTGTCTTCCAGACACATGAAGCATTTCTTCCTCCATTACTCTATTACTTGCTGCTTTTTTGGGGTTCCCTATGGCTTGTGGAGCTGTTCCCAGTGTTCACTACACCTCTGAACTTAACTGTTTTCCACCCACAAAATACCTGCATCTTGTTTTAATGAGACTTAAGAGTAAATTAAATGTCTGTAATAAATCTTTGCCATCTAAAACAGAATACTTGCTAAAACAGAATATATGAACTGCCTGAAAAGTGTTAATCACTTTTAACTTGTTTGTAACATTAAAAAATGGCAAAGCAAAGTCATTGCACAAAAACAGATTGCAAATCTGACCTCAGGAACAACCTCCAAAAGAGCGCTTCTCTGAATATGGGAGCAATGCATGACCTAGTGACTCACAGTCAGACACCTCAGCAAACATTAGAAATGTACTGGACACCTTGCAACTACTGCCAAGTCCATGTGACATCTTACAGAAGTCACTTGATCCAAGATACTATTTAACCTATGGAGGCAGAAACCTTCAACATGTGAATAGTCCAGGAGGAATATATGCAGTAGTAATGACTACTAGTAGTAGCAGACATGCATCTTCTATTGACAGTTGTCTGAGAGTCTAAAGGACCCCCTCTAATGTCACAACCCACATGATGCTGGCCTCATCCCGGAGGCCTGAGCTGGACATTTCACTTTGTGCATCCTGTACACTCTGTATCTTACCAGGAGGCTTGACTCCGAGTCCGGGAGCACACATGGTATTCCGCTGACAGCAGTCGCAATCCTCGCTCCAGTGGTAGCCCATCGTACAAGCACACTGCCGCTGGAACGTGCTGTTCCCTGGGTTCACTTCTCTCAAGGCCTTCCCTAAAAGAGAAAGCAGATGAGAGTAAAAATCTCTCTGATAACAAGCCTCAAGTTTCTGAACCTCCTGTTCTACCTACTTGCTTTGCTTGAATGGCAGATGCAAAACCATTCACGTTAGAGGAAATGGTGCCTTTTAGGAAGCAAGGGAGACCCTTGATCAGCACAGGGCTCCTCACCCACTGCACTCCAAAACAATACATTTCCTTGTGGCTTTTGTAGAAAATAAACACAGCATTTGCAAGGGTGAGACAAGCATGCTAGGGGAAGTGAATGCAGTGTGCTGGGAAAAAGGACAACTTCTAAAATCAGCTCACAGGGGTGAATGGCCCCAGTGAAGATAATCACTATCAGCAGCACAGAGACTGCAGTCATGGTGCTCTGCGTAGCACGGGATCTCTGCTGTCTGGGGATCTCTCTCTGCCAGGCTCCTCTGCAAGCTCAGCTTCTGTGTTGGGCACCTGAACAAAGCAACTTCCCTAGATCCACTTTCCCATCTTCATGCTTCACTAATTTGGATTAAAAGGTTCTGCAGTATGAACAGCTCACCTTGATCACATATTTTATGTAGCAAGCATTTATCTTCTTCATTCCAGACATCCATATACTCGTTTGGGCCACATGGTTGGCACACGCTATCAGAAGTAGCAGTGCATCTAGCAGACAAATATTTCCCTGTGATTGAGAAAAGGAAAAGTAGATCATCTGGAAGCTGCAGAGCAGCTGTCTAAGAAGGTTAGAGAAAAATAAGAGATTGAGTGCTAACACTGCTGTGGACAGTCATTTCTTCCTGCACCTTTTTAGTTTGTCAATCTAGCCCCCATTTAGTGTGGCACTGAAACATCTGTGAAGTGGATGGCCTGGGAGCAGAAGAATCAAGCTGCTTTCTGTCTCCCACAGTGGTTAAGTGCTATCCCAACAAAACAGCTGCTGTGGCCTTTGCTGAGGCCAGCAGGACCATTCCTGCCCCAGGAAGGCACTTGTAAGCCTGAGATCAGGCACCTGCAGGGCACGTGCCAATCCATCAGCAGTCACGAGAGCTGACTGCCCCACCAGCAACCTGCAAAGCAGCTCCTAAGGAGCCTCTCAGCCCCTCAGCCCAGTCAGGGCTCACATACCTGGCTCACACTTCCTGCAGCACCGTCCAGAGTACTCATAGTGTTGTTCGCTCTCGCACGGCGGAGTGATTTGTAGTGACAGCTGGAGCAGGGGAGGAAGGAGAGGACATGAGAACCAATACACCTGGAGAGCTTCAGACCTACCCAGTCCCAGTGCTGGCACGGAGAAGGAAGACTTTCCGTCTGTACAGCACAGTGGATAGCCAAGCAATAAAACTTACCCAACATTTGTGATTTCACAGGTGCTTTGTAGACATGCTTAATGGTATGTACTTGGTGCTGTACACACAGGGACTTTTAACAGAACCAAGTGACAAATAAATAATCCATCTTGCAATTTGTCATGAACTTTTGGCCTGCTACATAACCTTTCCTTACAGTACTCTTTTATTTTAAATCTATGACTTTAAAACAATTGTAAAGACAAAAAAAGGCATAGAGATACCTCTGTAGTCTCTTCCAAAGAAATTATGTCAGATCAAGACCTGGGAAAATGCCAGTTTTAATGTAGAGTGTTAAGCAAACAAGCAAAGTGAATGATTTATGTTCCTGAAAAAGAAGAAGTTCCCAGCTTCCCACTGGGATACAAGATACTTCTGGCTCGTCCTATAAAATACTGGCCTTAAATTTTGCAGCTTTTTATGGCTCCCACTGTGTCCTGCAGAGGCGGTCTCATAGAACTGAGGCGGCCATACAGAAAGGTGATGCGATTAAGCCAACAGCTTTTTTTGTCTCAAAAAAGCCAAAACAAAACCAAACCAACACAAACCACCCCCTCTCCCCACCACCCACCTGAAGTGTGTACATGACAAGGCATCTGCAAAGTGGGCAGCAGAGCTGCCTCTGGCCTCATGCATCCCTTTGCATCCCTTCCCAGCTCTCAGCTGCCTGTACACACAGTGGTCCCAGCCAGAGCCCAGGCTTCAGGGCATGGCTTGTGCTGGGGATCCTGGCCAGACAAGCATTGTGCCCAGCCTTTCACTGACCCTGCTTTGGCAGCCCAGAGTCCTCCGAGGCAAACTCAACACCTCACAACCAGCTGTTGATCTTGAAATTAGGTAAGGTGATTCAAAATCGAGTCCATAGCAAGGAATTCTTCACTCTTGGACACAGCCCTGTAAACTGCATTTACTTGGACAAAGCTGCAATAAAGCTTCTGCTGCTGGTTAAAGGGAGCTTTTGCTGCCTAATAGCACATGACAACTCTGTGCCTGCTGGTGCTGGTTCCCATTCCTCTGCTTAGAATTTTCCCCTTTTTCCTCCAAGTTGTTACATCTTCTCTTTTCTCCTTTTCTAGCTTAAGCAACAGCAACATCTTTAAAAAAAAATAGCTTTCCCTAAGCACTTTGCTCTCTTCTAAAGCTGGGAAGGGTCTTGTATATTAAAGATGCCCAAAAAGGATTGAAATTCTTTTTTAAGCAGCACCTTTTGGCTTGGAGTTTAAGCCATGGGTTGGTGCACTTGTGTTTATCAAAACTGTGCTAGCTGTGTCTGGAACAGAAAAAGTAGCACAAGTCAGAGGCCTTGAGTTCTCATATTTTTGCAGAGTATAAACAACTTACAGCCCTTTTTTTCATCCTCATAACAATCCTGGGTCAAATTAAGAGTCTAGTCTTCTGTTGTCTCATTGTTTCCTTGTCTTTTTCTCTGCATTCGTTAGCAGTACCTTTCCTGTGATTAGATAATGCATTTTTGCAACACTGTTTACAGAGCACCTCCAAGGACGGGCACAGGGTAACAGCCAGTGCTGCTGAGGGAAGAGGCAATCTAGGAAAAGGAAAGCTGGACTAGCTCAGCAGCTGAACAGTGACACAGATCAATGACCCTATACTTGAAAGAGCTTGTTTTCCGTAACGCACTTCAGGCTAAAACACTGAGATGGCCAGCAAAGGGTTGAGGTGATGATGTGGAACCAAGCACAAAGAGTGTCTTGAGCAATTAATCCTCTACCCAGCCATCCAGAAAGGTAACAATGGTGGTGAGATGAAAAAGCAGGTCATTTGCTTTTTGTTACAGAATATCCTCTTCTTCTTTGTTTGCCCCTGTTTAATAGTTCCTCTTTAGACGAAAAGACTAAAAAAATTACTGAAGTGTCAAACAAGGGCAAAGTCATCCTTTTTACGGAAGGATATGCAAATCTGCTAGGGAGCATTCAGCTAAAGAGTCTGGAGTAATTTCTGAGAAACACAATTCAGCCTGAGGAGAAGCAGCAGGGCCCTGGAACCAAGGTGAAGGGAGCAGGCTAATTGCTCAGCCACCTTTTGGACACTGCTTTACACCATCAGGCTTTAAGACACAATGAAGGCTATTGTTTTGGAATAGCTCACAGCTGCATTAACCTATGCTCTGTGTCAATAAGCAGCCTCTTCTGGGTCAGTGTCCTTCCCCTTTTCACACAAGCTAAGGCATTCATAAAGCTGCAATACTCCCTCTTTTGGTTTATGCCCAAAGGTGCAAAGACAAGGCTCTCAGCACCCATGGGCTAATCCCCATGTAAAGGTGAGGGATTCTAGCCTGGTATGGACTGTCTGGAGCTGCTGAGCATGAAAGCTGGGGCAAGAGTGGACAGGAAGAGAAACCAGAGCAACCTGGAGTTTTCTTATGGTGGGAGCCACACTCAAGACTTTTTGCTTACACAACTCTGTTGATGTCAGGCTATCCCATATAAATCCCTCTGCCAAGCAGACATGTCTGTCTCAAACTGTACATTAACTTCCTTGGGAGGACGAGAAGTACTTGTGCTGCTGCCAGCACGATGACCTGATGCTTCACCATCACCAGCACATTCCTGCCAATGTGTCCTTCTGAGACGGGGAAGTGCAATTCATTTGCAGATGAGGAACTTGTACCAGGAGGCCATCTGGCTTTACAGAGGTGACAGGAAACCAAACCAAGTCTCCCAAGGCTCAAGTTTGCTCCGTAACCCCTGGAACATCCTTCCTCTCCTCGGATGCTGGCCTGTGGGTCTGAGTGATTTGGACACCACCAAGCTCTTATCTTGAGAGAGAAAGGGCCAACTTCCTCTGAAGTGCTTAAATGAGATAAAACCAGGCCTGGTCATTCCTTAAAAGGTCTCGCTATTGATGAAGCTGCTCTTTAAATCTCACCACCATGTGCAAATAAGTCCTTCAGAGAGCTCTAGGTACCCTGTGTAAGTTTAATTTGTCACTTCAAAACTGTGCAAAGCACACAGATTTCCACCAGTTCCTAAAAAACCAGACAGCTTTCTCATTTGATCAATGTCACTTCAGAACAAATATATCCAACAGGGAGAGAAGACAGGGGGAAGAAGACAAACCTCCTCCAGGCTTGGTAGGTTCAGTTTGGTAAAGCACACCAATGCCTGCTTACCTTTAAGCACATGATTACCACAATGGACTTCTCTGGAAAAACAGGCATGCTTACGTCAACGTTTGCAGAAAGATTGTGTTTTGGTGTTGAGCTGCAGGCAGACTTTTCAGCTTTGTGTTTGGGTTTTTTGCTTGCTTCTTTGTTGAAAAGGACACTGAGCAAGAGTCTGCTTGTGCTTTTAGGGTTGGAGAACATCGATGACAGCACTACAAAGCACCATGGTGTTACTCACACCTTAACAAAACACACACACACAGGTGCGTCTGAAGGAGAGAACCAGCAGCATTCAGACTTCTGTCCTCAGGCTTAAGGAAAAATTTATTCTTTGTGCCCTTGAGCAATCAGAGAATCAGAAGAAGCTGCATGTCATGGATGCTAAAATTACTTTTCTTGCTCTTCACGTTTCAGAAAAGATAGAGTTGCATGGGCCTCTTTCCTTTAAAAGAAAAAATCTGGAAGAACAAGGTTGGGGGTTTCCACGGTCTTTTTCCCATGACACTTTTGAACAAGAACCTGAGGCCTCAATGAGGATTGCTCATTAGCGATAATCTCGGTTTTGCAAAAATTGAGATGTAAAGAGACAGGTCAAGGGGTAGCTGTCTTTTATGATGACACCTTCTTGATCAGTGTAGTTGTTTCTGGACAGTATTCAAGTAATCTGTCATCATTTCACTGAGCAAAGCGCATTTTTTTCTCCATTTATTATTACAGCATCAAAGTACCTCTGGGAAAGACAACTACGGTCTGTCTTGCCTTGCACGCACCACCTCTTTATACTTCGGAGCCCAGGTTTATTCAAACCACTTGCTTTTGAGGTCCTTAGACTTGCCTGCTATAAAACTGAAAAAAATCTGTGGATTTGGGGCTTTATTAGCCTTTGTCAACAGGAGTAAGTTTTGAGCAACGCTTCCTGAAGTGAAGTAGCCTCTGCAAGCACAGCTAAAATGGCCTCTACAGTTTTCTGCTGCTGCTTCTTCAAATGTGAGCCACTGCCTCTCCCCTCACAGGTACCAGCTGTGCCCACACCCTTCCAGCCTCCAACCTGATTTGGGTCAGCAGTATGGCTAACCAGACCCCAGATTTCTTCAGCCCATTGCCAGTTTCAGAGGCTTGCCTAAAAAATTATTTAAGAGTAAAAATAGAATCTGGTTCTCGATGGGCGCTGCCCTGTGGCTGGTGCTCCCAGGCACTCTGTTGAGACACATAATTGTAACAACTCTGGAAAATTTTACAGTTGTGGGTGTACAAGGGGAAAAGAGGAGTCCTGTGTTAAAGGCTTAATCATAATCACGTTACATGCAACAGTTCCTTCATGGACAGTCTTCACTATTGATAAAAACTAAATCAAAGCAGCACCCAAGTCACAGCTTTGCAATTCCAGTTATTTGCTTGCAGGCCTGTAATTCATCACAAAAATCTTAGATTGTGAATGAAATGCTTTTGGTGATGTCAACTTTCCAGTGACCAGTAAACCACATCACAGAACTACTACCACATGGTAAAATAGAGCCGGGAAATGGCAACAGCTTAAACTAAATATTATTTCACTTTTAAAAATAGGTCCTTAAAGCCCTCCTACAGCCTTAATGCCTGAAGAGGCAAGAAAGAGTGTGAGGGATGAAATCAATAATGAAGAGGTGAAGAGAAAACTGTAACATGTGGCCAGGACTTGGGCAAATGGTGGCAAAAGCTGTGTCCTGCCTATTCCCCCTGTCCCTCTGTTCCAGCGTG